AAAAAAAAAACCAATGACAAAAAACACCCTGCTACCTCAGTGAGACAAAAAAGTAAAGTGTAACAAAAAATGAACCATCCCTTGTTGTGTCTCATACTTGAGGGGGAAGAGTTCTGAATGTACGATAAATAATTAAGGCATAATAAATAATAAATTTTTTTGGTCTTCATTTAGATTTCAGGACATTTTTTCTCATGTGGCTTTCTATTGGATGCAAGCTGCCTAAACTGGCTCTCTGTCACAAAAAATAAAAAAGCTCTTGGAGGTCCTAGTTTGTGTTCAAACTAAAGATTACTAAAATTAGAAGTGCTATGTATGCGTGTCTGCCTTTGTTTTCTGATGCTGTTTTTGTCAACCTGTCCAGCAATAAACGGGGAACTTGGGACAGAGAACGAGGGATAAAGATTTTTTTTTAAAAAGCGACTCAGAGGGCTGTTACAATGCCCAGCAGCAGCGAAGCCTGTCTCCTTTTTGAATATTTCAAAAAGAATATCGCAGATGTGAGTGCTCTATTTGTGGATCACAAAGTGACGCCATGGGCCTTTACCCTCACATGGATTGTCACATTACCAACAGTGTCCCGTGAAAAAACCCCATAAAAATAAAGAAACAAAATTCCAGCCTTGACAACGAAATCTGTGTCACTCTCTTCCCCCATCATATTATGTAGCTGTTGGAAAGACAGCAAACCACTGTTGTGTGATAAGCGGGAAATAGACCCATTAGAGTGTAAGAACCCCCTCCATCCACCTAACCATCCACCCGATCCAATTGTTCCGTAAAGATTTCAGCGCTGTGGATTGCATATTTAGAGTTGATCAAGGAAGGGTGATGTCAGCTTAAAATGTCAGCGCTTAAGATACAGATTTACACATATATTTTAGGAACGACGGCTTATCTTCCTGTTCCTTCTTCGTTCTTCTCTCTCATCATCTCATGTTTCTTTCAACCTGCTCCATCTTGTATACGTCATATATTCCACCAACATATCAGAAGGGGGAAAAAAGTGTTACTCCCCCTCCACTCTCTTCACTTCTATTTTTTTTTTTACTCTTACTGTGCCACTCTCTACTAAAAATGCACTAGACAGTATTTAAATATCGATTTTATGCATCCTTTTTTTTTTTTTAATCTTGCAAAATTTGTATTCAAAAAAACCTTGTATGCATGTGTTTGTATGTATATGGTTAAATGGCCACTGTCAAGACAGAGGGAGACATCCACTTGATAAAATACTAAAGGATTTACTTTACACAGTATGAAAAATAGTAGCTAATATGAAAACCTAATGGGTATTTTGTCATTTTGTTTTAACTGGGAATTCTACAGATTGAACTGGTCTTGGATCATTTCCTTAAGTTTCTAGGTTGCTTCACCTACCTTCAGCTTTTTGACATTGCCACAGGGATCATTGGAGAAACTCTCTGTGTCTGCAATCTCAATGTTTGCTTTCTCCAGCTCATTTGTGAGATCGTTCCTCACCTGCAAAACAGAAAGAGAGAATACACGAATGTTGTTGAGAAATTACAAAAACATTTCCAAAAAAGTTGGGACACTGTGTAAAATTTAAATAAAACCAATGATTTCCAAACATCATAAACCCATATTTTATTCACAGTAGAACAAAGCAAACATATCAAATGATTAAAGTGAGAAAATGTATAATTTAAAAAAAAAATTGAATCTGATGACAGCAATCTGAGGCAACAAAGAGCTGGAAAAGTAAGTGGTAGTAAAATGAAACAGCTGGAGGAACATTTTGTGACTAATTAGGTTATTTGACAATGGGTCAGAAACATGACTGGGTATATTCAAAGGGCATCTTAGAGAGGCAGAGTTTCTCAGAAGTAAAGATGGGCAGAGGTTCCCCATTCTGCAAAAACTGTGGAACAACTTTATGTTCCTCAGCATACATAATATCATCCAAAGAGCCTGAGAATCTGTAGAAAACCCTGTGCACGAGGGGCAAGGCAAAACAGGCATGATTCTGTCCTGCAAATCACTGAATGGGCTCAGGAAGACTTCCAAGAACATTTGTCTGTCGCACTTCACCCTGCTATCCACAAATGCAGGTTAAAGGTCTACCGTGCAAAGAAGAAGCTACAAGTGAGCAAGAACCAGAGAAACACTGCTATCTACTCTGGGCCAAAGCTCAGTTAAAATGGACTGAGGCAAAGTACAAAAAAACTGTTCTGAGGTCAGATGAGTTGAAATTTAAAATTCTTCTCAGAAAACGCACCCTTCTCATCTGACTTGTTAGCCATGCTCAGTGTCAAAAGCCTGCATCTCAGATCATATGAGGGCATATCAGTGCAGCTTCATATTATCAGCTTGCACAGCTGACAATGCTGAAAGATGTAGTAAAAAAGTTGTGTCTACTGTAGAAGAATGTAAGTGTGGTCAGAGGTTCAATAAGTTATACATGCTCATAAAATATCAGCCAGCATGACAATTGCAGTCAAATGTGCAAAGGTGCTTTTATTAAGTAACCTACCAGAGTTTATTTGAGACAATGTTACCATTTACACACTGCACATGTAATTACATAGTGTAGTGTAATAAACTACACACAACAGTGTAATAACTTAAATCACATAGCCTATAGGAAACAAATACTGTGGTACTATGACGGAGCAGCTATTAAAAATATGGAAAAAGGGAGGAAATGCAGTTTTATAAAGTATATTAAACATTAGATTCATTAAATCATGTATGCATAAATCACAGAGAGAAAATCAATCATTTAGCTCAATGCTGTGATAGATGCAAATAAAAACTGAATGTGTGAATATATTTCTGCTAGCTTAAAGCAGATGAAATCATGTTGCAATATACATATAGTATTCTGTACACAGCATTATAAAGCAATAAAGTGAGATGGATGCAGGCCATCTAATGTTTTGAAATGGTGCATGCATATTCTACCATGAACTGTGAATGAAAAGACAGAAAGACAAGCAGCTTGTCATTTTAGCATGGCGGACACATACATCAGATCTGTCATCCTCCTGATTTGCCTCAGCCCGTTCAATGAGGAGTTGTAATTTTCGCAATATACCGAGCGTGCATTTGTCACAGCGATATGAGTTTGTTTTTCACTAAATAAGACACAAAAGAACAAATGTACACTTCAAATAATCTTCGCTGGTTATCCAGGGCTTGACAAAAAGTAGACAAATGTGCAGTGCTGTAGATGTATCTGCAGCAGCTGTATGTCTGCTGTGATGTATTGAGCCAGTAGAATGGTGGGTAATTCAATCTGAGAAGATGGAGAATGGAGCAGGTACCCCACTGGGATGGCAAGCTTGAGGTGTTTTATCATACCGCCTCTCACTTTTTCTCGGCCATCACATACACACATGCTACGAGTCGGCCCTCTTGCTTCCCTCCTTTAATCCACAATTTTAGAAAAGCCCTTTTTCACAGCTGACATTTTGACTTCTCATAGCAGGAAAACCACAGGTGTGACTAATACCATTAATAATGGCTCTGTTCCAGTAAGGCAACACACTGAGACATCACGACAACACCATGGCTCTGACATGGAATGCAGTTGTACCTACGTCGAAAAAGTCAAAATATGGTATAAAGTCCTGTGGTGTTCATGCTGGATTTCACTGATGACAACATTTTTTGTGTGTCCACGGGCCATGCCCCGCAGCCATCAGTGTCTCCACCCCAACCCAAGAGCCATGTTGACACGTCAGAGAGTTGGCAGTGACAACATATAACAGCTAACAGAAGTCCTGTGTGTTTCCTCTTACTGTGCTTTAATATGTTCATCCTGTAATTATGTGTTCTAAATTGCTTCAGCTACATGGTGGTTGTATATTCACATTTCTACAAAAGTCTCCTTACAGTGTCACCTTGAATTGACTTATAATAATACTTAGAGACTGTACTGTAGGGTTTCAAAGATTCAGTTGAGTATTTGAATAAAAATCATAATCTTTGCTATTTTGCAAGATGAACTGTGAAGTATACAGGGCTATACGCCCAGCTCAGATTTAGCAAAATGCTGCAAAACTGAGCAGATAGTGTTTCATAGTATAAATTGATAATGCCTCAAAGCATACTGCAAAAAAAAAAAAAAAAAAAAAAGACCCCACGAGTTTCTCAGGGCAAAGAAAAGGGATGTGGCCCAGTCAGTCACCTGACCTCATCCCAACAGAGCAGCTTTTCAGATTTTCAAATACAAGAGTGAAAAAAGCAGGTGGTGGCTGGAGTAAAGTATTACAGTAAAAACAATTTTTATACTGAAAACTTTGTCTGACCAAGTCTGGCAAGTACTCTTGAGCCTCTGAAAATGGGGTACTATGTGTAAAAATTGCTGTAATTCCTAAACAATGCAATACTTTCACTAAAAGCTGAAAAGTCGGCACTTCAATCCCAAACTGATTGTATAAATGGTGTGGTGGAGGAGACAGGCTCAATTACAAAAATTGTATATTTCTCCAAATATTTATAGACCTAACTGTAGATGGGACATAAATAAATAAATAAAAACTGTGGAAAAATTAGTGAAAGATTGGTATTTCTTCTCAAAATACCAAGCACCGGCCAATCATCAGCCCGTTAGTTCAAAGTGGCGCCAGGATTTGAACTGTAAAAGCTACTATCAGTATTATTGCTATTGATACTCCTGTTAAAATTAGCCAACTGCAGCTTAAAATTAGTCATTACAACAGTTTTGTGCTATCAACTAAGATTTCTGACATCTAAAAATCAATAACTCTGAACAACCTCAACTTTATTTCCCTCATGTCTCCAAATGTCTGCTTTCATAATCGCCTTCTCCTCTGGTACCCCCGGAGGAAGCTCTAAATCACTCTGTACATCACTCACTGCTGTACAAACATTCTCTCCAATGTACTGCTCGCTGAGCTGAAACAACAGGGAGGCCGATGTGAATCAATACAACCAAGTTTTGCTCTTGAGTAACAACTGGCTTGGTGGTCTGGACGAGGTACAATGTCCTGTTGTGTTGTGTTGCGTTGAGTGTTGATCCTAAAGGATAAAAGGAAACGAACTTCAGTGTGAAAAGGGACGGCAGCTGGTTAGCCTGTTGTTTGTAAAAGGTGTGTGGGTCAAACACAAATGGGTTTCTGGGAAAATATATACCAACCACTCACACGCAAGACATGGAGAGTTGCACAAAATTTCTGCTGTACTACAAAATACACTCACAAAGAGCACAGAGGCCGACAGACAAAGCCATTGACTTGCAGGAGTAAAACCCTTGTCACAAAAGGATTTTATTGGTTTGATTTTGTGTTTCTTCCACCGAGATGGAAAAATGCATCCGTATTCTGCTGGACTCACTCGGTTAGACAGAGCGAGAGAGACGGAGGGGACAGATGGATTGAAAGCTGGTAGGAGGGGGAAAAGTGAGCAGCTGTCCTGCGTAACAAAAGCATCCACCATTGTTTGGGGCAGCCTGGGAATCCCCGACAGCAAATGCAGAAGAGAAATAATCCTATTGCACTTGTGAGCATGGGTCCACGCACACAAAAAAAGAGTGTCACGTGCACCCAGTGCATGTAAAATACTAGAATTCAGAAAGCACATTGATTGATTGAATCTTTATTTTGAACATGTTAAAAAAAGTACAACAACAGAATTAAAAAGAGACAAACAAACAAAAGGAAAACGAGCAACCACAACTACAAATAACTTTCATGTTCAAAAAGGAGCAGGAAGAAGCATAAACTTATTTAATCCCACCCCCTTTCCACTATCTAGTAATCAATAGACTGCAGAAATATCTCTACATTAACACAATACTAATATGTGCATCATGTATATATGAACAGAAACTATATCAAAATGACTGTGGGAGATGAGGATGTTGAGAAAATCCATGGTACGCTTTCTGGTGGGCATATGACATAATTATTTATCATCAAAGGGAAATATATACTTAAATCAGCTGAAGATTAAAAACATACGGTGAACCACTGTGTTTCAGAAACGGTCAAGCCTCCTTGTTTGGCAACGTCAACAACAGCTTTGATTTTCTTTGTATGATGTCATTCTACGCTGCTTCACTGTCCCAGCATCACCAAGCTTCACCTGGCAGCCAGCTACTCCTAACACTGACCCGTGGGATTATCTTGGGAATTACTTTTCCACTCTATGACGCCAAGCTGTTCGGGACCAAAATCACATGTTGAGTCATTTGATGCAAAGAAAAGCGTATCTCTTGTCTATTCAGTTGTGGGACAAACAGGCTATGCCAGTAATTCGTCTGAGACATGAGTCATCATCAATGATAACCCCACTGCTATTCCCAAACCCTAATTGTGCTTTGGAAACAACATTTCTAGGAATACTGTTTATGGGACGTAACACATGATGGTAACGTATGCTAGAGTTATCAGTCGTCATAGTTTATTTAAACGTTTAAGCTCTGAGGGGTGCAGACAGAGGACAGAGTCTTAATCCTGCTCTCAGTCAGGTCTGTCATCTGACTGACAGGTGATTGCTGCTCCTGTTCCTGAGTGAGCCCTGTTTGTCTGGCTGTCTCAATAATGTTGATTGCTCTGTGTGTG